CCCCAAAACCCCAAAACCCCAAAACCCCACGAATCTAAATTTGAAAATATTTTATATGATATCAAAATCAACTTTATGAAATTAACTGTTTATTCAAAATTCACAATTTGCTTTCAAATCCCATATTATTTCTATGGTCCACCTGCAGTTTTAATGCCTCTCATCATGTTTGTACTCTTATTGAATGTCATATTCGGTGCATGCTATGTCAAGATAGATGCCAATTTATGGGGTTTCTTATCAGCCTACAAATCAAGGTTTCTAAATTAGTTGGTGTCTGATTTTATATTATCTATCTGCGATCTATTTTTATTTAGGTTTGGTCCATGTTAAACTCCAAAACTCTTAACTGAAACTTCCTCTTTAATCTTGACACTGCCCATAGAGTACTTGCTATTCAGATTGTTCCTAAAAATAGTTACTCGTTTATTTGATTAATCGTCTAGAAGCTGTTATTGTCTTGAAATGCTATTATTCAAACTGTCGTTATTATTCATTTTAGAAGGGGTATATGTTCCCTGATGAACATGAGAAGTTGAGACCTCACCATGCCCCATAGACATCGAAAGATCCTGGCTTTCATTAGGTCTAAAATCTTGATTTGTTGGACTGTTATTCAAACTCACTCGCATAGATTGATTGCTTTTCTTTTAGCGCCGAGCTTAGATATGCTGTAGGCTCTTTCTATAATCTAAGTTAAGGTTGATGTTGTTGTGTCTTTTATCAATTATAGACTCTTAATCTCCTTAAAACATATCGTAGAAATTATTCTGTGTTGTATTCATAGATTACTTTTAAACTGAGCTGCTATGAGCTGAAGCTCTTTGAGTGAATTAAAGCTTCCATTTCTTTATAGCTTGCGGCATATCCAATTTCATCTGCTCTTACAACTGATAATGAAACTTCTCAAAGTGTCTCAAGCTTTATGGAATGTCATTTCCTTATAAACTCAACTATCTTTTAATTCTCGGTTGATTATCTGATCTACTTTGACTTTACTGATACGGCATATTGATAATCTCGCCTTCACCTGGTTAGATTTGCCTTATGTTAAAATCTTCAATCCAAGCAGCAGTTACCTATGCCTATTTGAATAAGAAATCTCTTCTGCTAATTAAAGAATTCTTTGATTCAGCAGTCTAAAAGTTATTGCTTGATTTGATTGGCAAAAGCGATCTGGCCATTTCCACACTCAGTATAGACATATGCTTTAGCCTTGAATGAAGACTTTCTATAAGATTTAGACAACCTTCTAAGTCTACCTTGTTTGCCTTGATGTCCTAAAGTGTCTACACCACTTCTACATCAACCTTTCTCTCAAGTGTCTTGTTCAACTCTTCCTAGTCGAAAAACTTTGAAAACTGATTTAGGACTCTCTCATAATTTGCCATGGCTTTTGCCAATGCCTTTTTCACTGCATTACTGATCTCCTCAGACATATTTACCTCGAACATTCGAACTGACTCCTGCATCAGTTTAACTGTATTTTGCTATTATTCAATAGTCTTATTTATCTCCTCCTGCAATTTATCCCAATACTTCTTTTTTACATAGTGCTGCTCTACATGGAATTATAGTTCATTGATTGCCATTTTAGATGCTTTCTCACTAAGCACCTCATCGAATCTCCTGACCATTTCTTTCATCTGTACATAGCTCTCATCATGGATCTCCATTTTCTTCTTAAATTCTTGCACGAGTGGAACAACTTCCTTTCTAAGATCCCTTAGAGTAGAAGTGAGTGCATACTTTTCAATCATATATTCTTTGAGCTCAGACATCTGATTAACTGATGCTTTCTCAAATATTTTATGCTCAATCTATTGAGTGGTATGCTCTTGCTCTTTCATGTAATTCTTTAGTATGTCTTTGGCAGAATTGATTTTTCCTATAAGATCCTAGTTCTGCTTCATGATCTCTTTTTCTATGTTTTTCAATCGCTTTTCAGAGTCGTTTGAGTTTTCTTTCAAATTTTACTCCATCTTCTCCTAGTACTGCTAGAAAGAGTTGACAGCCTGCTAAAGCTGTATGATATGATTCTAAGTGTACTTAAATTCATTTTTGAAGTTTTCAAAATCCGATACCTCGCACTTGTATGCTAAGTTATCTGCTACTGCTTTCAAAGCACTAAACTTAACATAGTCTTCGAGCTAGTATTCGAGATTTCTTAGGTTTTAATATGAGGCTTTTTCATCTATTTTCTGCAGGAAAGTCGACATCTGCGCTCTAATGTCTTTCACAATATCAACTTGAGATTTGATGGCTGTTTAATCCTTGTTTATTTAATCATATTTCTAGTTGTTAATTTTATCCTACTGATCAAGAATCTGCAATATGTACTGCTAGCATTGATCTATTACTTTCTCTTAGCTTTAAACTGATACTTGCTGAACCCACTGCTGAACAGAAGTGAACCCTTGAAATGATATTTCATTGATAGCTGTAAATTTGCTGATCTCCTCTAACTAATTATGCATACTTGTGAGGGTTTCATTAAGATCTTTTTGGTCTTTCATCCTTTCCAGCTTCCTATCATAGTTAATGTCTTTTGTCACTTCTTCCATCCTTGTATCTAATTATTTCTGCATTTCAAGCATTAATTTTCTCTCAAGTAGTTGCAATTCGTATGTTGTGACAGGAGCCCTCTCTGATTGAGCAGCTGATTACTAAGATAGTTAACTTTCCATTAAGACTTTGTTATATTATACTCTTACTTCTATAATTAATTGATTTTGAATAATCCAAAATACTACTTTTTAAAAAAATCTGGTATTATGGGGTTTTGGGGTTTTGGGGTTTTGGGG